CCTGCAGCTTTTGCCGCCGCCGCCGCCGGCCCCAAAAGCCTGCACCAGGACTACAGCGAGGGCTACTCCTGGTGCCTGCAGGAGGCCGTGCAGTTCCTGACGCTGCATGCGGCCAGCGACACGCAGATGAAGCTGCTCCACCATTTCCAGCGTCCCCCAGCCGCGCCCGCCGTGCCCGCTAAGGAACCCAAGGCGACCAGCAGCGCGCCCACGCCCGTGCTCACTCCCGCCAAGGCCACTGCAGTGACCGCGCGCCAGCCCACCTGCGGCCTCTGGCGGCCCTGGTGACCCGGCAGGACGTGCAGGTGGCCGCCCCGAGGACCAGAGGCCAGCCTGCACCTCTGGCCATTCGTCTGTCCCTCCTGGGGCTTGGACAGGCCCCCTTCTCCGGAAGGCTCGCTCTCCAGGCTGGCGGGCCAGCAGGAGGGTCCTTCTGGAGAGAAGGCGGTCACAGAGCCCTGGTCACTCAGGACAGTCGGGGCCGCCTTCGCACAAGTGTCTGACTCCACGGGGTTGTTCTGTGTTTGCATTTCAGCAAGTGACTTCTGGGAAGTCCCCGCTGCCCGGGGTTCTATGATATTTGTAGGCGTCAGGGGCTCGGTCAGCCGGTGCCCCCACGTGTAGAGGACTTTCTTCAGGGCCTGCTGCTGCCGGGCCAGGGGGCCTGGCGGGCGGGCCGTGCCGTGGGCACATTTGCCTTTTGTGAAGGCGGAACTCAAGGTGTATCCTCATAGGAAAGAGTGTCAGCCTGGATGGGCACTGAAGGACCATGCAGAGCTGTGGCCGAAAGGCCCCTGCGTGCACGTGGTTGTCTAGTTGGGGCTCATAGTGGGCTTTGTGGGGAGGGTGGGCGTCTCCACCATGATCCTCAAAGGATCCCTCTGTGTGGGCGAGTGCGTGTGGTCATGACTTTGTACTCAGAATTTGAACCCTCGGTCACGTGGGAGCCCACGGGACTGCTCTGCAGACTTCCAATAAAATCTGACTAAGCAGCCCTCTGGGGTCTGTCTCTCGTGCCTGACATGTGTCCTTGGCAGCCACGCGGTGGGCGGGTCTGTGCGGGGGGAAGGGGGACAGACGCTATCGTGGTACTCCAGCATGGGTGGGAGGTGTCTTTGCCGGTGACCTTCTGCACAGGGAAGGAAGGGCTGGTCCTGGCTGAAGGAAGGAGGGAGGGAGGCCAGGAGGCAGGCGAGCAGGGGAGAGGCAGGCTGGAAGGAAGACCGGCCCAGACAACACGTACCCCCGTGCGGAGCAGGAAGCAGTACAGTGGGAGACTGGGCTCTCTGTCCCGGGGCTTCTCAGCAGCTCCCTGCAGGTGGGAGGTGGGGGGGGGGGGGAAGTGACAGCTCCAGGACCTTCCGGTTCTGTTCACCTGAGGGGGGTGAGACAACTACAGCCTGGCGGGGGGGGGGGGGGGGGGGGGGGCTTTCTGCAGCAAAAGGGGGTTCGCAGGGCCAAAGGCACAGGAGGCGTTTGCCTCCCCTGGCCGTCTTGCGTGGCCAGCGGGCCCTGCCCCTGGGTGAGCTCCTGGATGCACCCGCTTGGCTAGCCCACACTCAGGTGGCTGCCCGGCCCTGCCTGCAGGCCGACCGCTCGCCAGGGCCGAAACAGGTGGACCACCAGGTGTTGACTGAGTCTGCAAGGACCTAGGAGGGCCCTGGCTCCCCAAAAGACAAGTCCGCCCATGGGCAGTGGAACCAAAAGGCCTTCCCGTTTCTTCGGAGCGAGGGGGCCCAGCCGGGCCATCCTCCCTCTGGAGCTCGCCTCTCCCCTCTGCCCTCTGGAATCCCTTTCTGTCCCGCCTGACAGGAACATCTGAGGCGCCCCCTCCAGGCCGGCCCAGCGCTACATCCCACACGCTTACTGCATGTGGGGCAGGCATGTCAATGCACGGGGAGGGGGCTGTGCCTCCTGGTCAGGCCCACAGTGCCCCCCCTCCCCCGGCCCAGAGTCCTCGGCGCTGGAGGCCTGTGTGCTCTAGGAGCAGACCCCCTGCCCTCTTCCACCCAGCATACCCACCCCTTAGACGATGCTGGCAAGTCGGCCTCTTCCCGAGGCACAGGGCCCCCCTTCCGATCACCCCGGGGGCGTGGGGTTTGTGCTGCTCTACAGGCCCGTGCTCCGGAGGCCTTGCCAGGCAGCTGGTAACATGCTCAGACAGAGGCCGAGGTCCAGAGACAAGAAGTAACTGGCCCAGGGTCACCTGGGAGTCAGCTGCCCTAGGGACCGTCTGTCCACTGCCAGCACTGGGCTCTTTCCCGAAGCGTCCGGTGCCTCTGAGGTCTCATCCCTCAAGGGTCTTCTGGCCAGCAGGAGCTTCCCAGGGACTGGCCCTGCCCACCACCATTCGTGCCCATGCTCCAGCTTCAGGAATATTTTTCAGATGGTCCCCTACAAACTCCCATAGACTCCCCGTTTTGCCCACAGGCAGCCTCCTCCAGGCGGGCTGCCCTGTTTTCCCCTTCACTGTCTGCAGATCTCACCATCAGGGTGAGTGTCTTCCCCACCTGCAGGTGCATCGTCCATCCCAGGCTGGGGCGCCTGGAAGGCAGGGTCCCTGACACCCCCATTTTGCATGTGGCTTTTGGATCTGTCCTTGGTCCCTAGAGACCCGGGCTGGTGGGTCACATGCACCCTGGGAACAGCTGCACTCACTGAAAGAGGCAGGTCTCTGGGGGGTCTGCAAGCCCCAGGTGCCTTCTCTGCACTAGCTCAGAGCACTGGAGGTCAGCATCTGGCCAGCTCGGTGAGGGCACAACAAAGACAACAGTCCAGACGTTTCGTGTTGGGCCAACGGCCGCGGGGACCCCGGCGCGCGGGCAGGCCATGATCCTCCAGCTGCCGGGACCACAGAGGCGGGCTGGGAAGGGGGGGCGGGCCCGGGTGCCTCATTAGCATAATATATGCGCGGGAGGCGTTTAGCAGTCAAATATATGCGCATATATCTCCATGGCTGATGAGGCTGGCCGGGCACATTCAAAATGGCGGAGTGCGGAGCGAGCGGCAGCGGGAGCAGCGGGGACAGCTTGGACAAGAGCATCACGCTGCCCCCCGACGAGATCTTCCGCAACCTGGAGAACGCCAAGCGCTTCGCCATTGACATAGGTAGCCGCGGACGGGCGCCGGGAGCTGAGCGGCGCGCGGCGGGCGTGGGCGCGGGCGGCGGAGCCGGCGGGCCGGGGG